TCAGTGCCAGCACTGATGTTGCTGTCTTTGATGATGATGTGATGGATGGTTCGTGAAGCTTGTACCTCATTTTCAACCGTATGGTTGAAGATACTCTGATACCAATTTTTTGAAGTCTTTTGCATTTGGATCTATTGATGATGATGATGATGATGGTTCGTGAAGCTTGTACCTCATTTTCAACCGTATGGTTGAAGATACTCTGATACCAATTTTTTGAAGTCTTTTGCAGCCCTTTGGATCTATTCCTTTCTTCATGTCGTCGTCCGTGACACCTAGCTTTTGCTTCCATGTCAAAATCATTTGATATCGCTTACTAATTTTAATTTTAGCTACTGTAATGCTTCCACGGATTTTTTTCCACTGTTTTAGAGGAATTGGCTCAATTCCTGGGCCACGAAACTACCCGTAGAGGTGCCGCTCGTGTGTTTCGTTTGCTGCAGCAGGAAACTTTGAACCGTCGGTTTGTTCACCATTTACTGCAAGCTATCATTCTTCACCTGTTCAGACCATGTGAAGCCCAATGGGAAGCGATATTTGAGAAGCACCTATGCCCTCTCCATACAGGACGTGCATGTCGTATTCATAACACCATTCCTGAGTAACTGGTCAGTGAACTACAGTTGGTCGTTATCGTCATTATTTTAGCACTGGCTAACATAACCCGTTTGCTTTCGACGAGTCACCAATAACACCCAGGTTTCTGTGGCGCATTGTAACCACTGTTCTTTCGTTGTACTTCATCAGACTCATGATTTTTTCATCTTTTTAACTATGTAACAGAATGAATCCATCGGATATTTGAACGCACCCACTGTTGAAATAAATGCTAACAATTACTCAGGTCTGTGCTATTGGAAGAACAGCACCGATGTTTCCGTGTCCTTTTCGTCCTTGACTCGCGTGTGTTATTTCATGAAGTTCTCCTCCTCTCTTATGGGTTAGGATTCATATTACCCTACAGAATATTTGTGCGCATCGTACCATGACTACACCACTTGTAGCGTGCGACGTTGCATCCAGTCACGTTCTACGTCCGAAACCTAACATGCAATCCATCTCTTAGACAAAAACACAGTGCTTGTACTGATTCCTCTCTATCGTGCAACTGTAAAAGGCGTATCAGTGGGACAAAGAGTGTGGGTTCTAGTTAAAACCTACAAGAGGCGGGGGGGGGGGATCAAGGTAAGGCAGGTGATTAGTCACCTGCCTGATGTCGGTCTTGAGGCGAGAAAACGTGCTGAGGACTGTCCGCTAGTGCTGAAAACAATAGGACGCAGTGCTGGACACCAGAATAATCGTCCGGTCGCGTAATATTTTAAAACGCATCACGTATGTAATCGCGACAGTGTCTGTTGCTCTGTAAACCCTTGGGGTCCTATTTGGTGGGCGTAACCTATCCTGATACAAAGAACTGACATGGAAGGGTGACAGTTCCCTAAGGCTTTCGACAGTGATGTTTGGAAGTTCAGTACAGGCTATCCCTCCCGTCATTTCCGTATCCGAGCCAAGACACCTCGTCAGACGGCTGTAAACTCCGGAGAATTCTGTCTGTAGGTCCGCAGTTTGGGTCCCATGCGTTTATTTCTGTGATCAATGCAAATTATCGCCGGTTGCAGAACGAAACAGAACTGATCGGCAATTTTAATATAAACAGTTTGCACGGCCAGGTAAATATTCTGACCAAGTACTTAGTTATGAGCGCAATTCGGAGCGAAGGGTTCAAACTCTAGCGAAGTGACTCGGAGGAAGGAAAGTTCAGTGCCGGCATGCTGCGTAGCACAACTGACGCCATAGCGCATCTCCTATAGACCATATTTCTCGCTGTATCCCTTTACATTTCATGGTTTCTAAAGCGGGTCGCCCGACAACATAAGGGAACGAACCTGATTCGCGGAACCCGTAACAGTCACCCTCGAAGCTTCCGAAATTATCGTGTGTGAATGATCGTTCCGTTCAAATTTCTCTTAAGTGGACACACAGCTGTCTACCTGACGTTCACTTTATTCTATACAATCATCCAGAATGAATCCCTGACGCAAACTTCATTACCCATAAGCGATGCTCTCTCAACGTGGTTAATCACGGCGGCATGTATCTGCATTAGTTTTTCGATTTACAGCGGAGGAGCGGAAGATACCATCTACCAATGACTAGGTGGCAGCTGTCCATGTAATTTCTCATTGCACTTGACTTCAAAAACACCATCCGTTAAATCTTGTAAGATTCATGGATAGTTCATGCTACAAAGAAAGAATTCCCCTACAGACCCCGTATATTCGATCAACTAAGCGTGGAATGGGGTTCTGTAATTAGACAAGGAGGACCTCAGTAGTTCGTTCAGCGTTCGACAACCCTTATTAGAACTGATTTGATGGGACCTGCATTCCTTACGAGCAAAAAGCCCCTTAGAACACAATTTGAGACGTCCCTTAATAATGCCCAAGATCATAGTTATTTGCAAACACAGACAAAACATTCGGGAATCCGCAGAACAAAGGATAAAAGGCTAGCGGCAGGAGCATGGGTGGATACCTCACTTGAAGAGACAAGATTGGATACGGAGAGCTATGTTTTCTGCTTCAGACTGTATTTGATAATTAACAAACCAGCGTAGTCTGACGGGCACAAGTCGCAGGGGAACACAGCCCGGACGAGTGTCCTGTGAGATATTATCCTTCTAATCAAAAGTAAGGAATCGATCTCATTGCTCCGCTCCGCGAACTTGTTTACTATGAAAAGTGGTTGGCTGCATGCTGAGTATGATCTCATCTCTTCCTCGGTTATTCAATAATGTCAACGCCTTCAATGCATGCAGATGGGATGTCTAGCCCTCATAGTACGTGTTAAGGGAATGTACGAGCTGAACATGCCAGTGATGCACTTTCCCTGGTGGTTCAGACGCTGTATCACCTCAATTAGTATGTCTCCTATCCCTTGGGAAAGCATCCAGAGCATTTCAGAAGAGTAAAGCCGGAATCCAGTTAAGATATCGCTCGCTTGTTTTGCATACGACGATATGAAAAAGAATGTGCTGGAAGCGATTCTCTCGGACAAAACTGTCAGCGGGTTGTTCTGCTGTAAGGTATAAATACATATTATGCGTTTTCAACGGTAATATTTGGCTGGCTATTGAAAAAAATCGTTTCGAGAAGACAACCTGGTTATGATTTATCGGTCTTGCAGTATTCTGAGCAGGCAATAGAAGTCCGAAGGGCAGTGCACTTTGTGAGGATACTGCACTTTAGAGATTGAGGCATCACGTGGACCATAACATTGGCACTAGAAGCCGCTGAATGTTTCGTGTTGCAGCTAGAGTGAAGCATCACTTTGTACGACCAATGCGGGATAACCGTGGACTTGAATAAGAGGAAACTGGCAATTCCGAGAAATCCGTTGATGTCGGAGTCTAGTCAACTTATGATATGGGCTTATATTTCCAAACCCTTACGCGAAGACGTGCCTGCCACCCAGAGATACCCGTGCGGCCGATTAAAGATTTTCATCATGAGTTAGTACAATTCGGCTGTTTATTTACCTCATCAGAGTTGCGCACAGCCTGAACAACATTTCCGTTACACGAGGTAACTATTAAACTTGAAGTAACTGAAAAATTCGCCTGACGGGGCGAAAGTCTATTGAATGTTCGCGTGTAACGAACTATCCAAACTAGGAATGTGCAACAACTTACTCCAGTCAACAGCCTATCGTTGACTGTTTGGAATAATAATATAATAATACTTGAAGTAACTGAAAAATTCGCCTGACGGGGCGAAAGTCTATTGAATGTTCGCGTGTAACGAACTATCCAAACTAGGAATGTGCAACAACTTACTCCAGTCAACAGCCTATCGTTGACTGTTTGGAATAATAATAATAATAATAATAATAATAATAATAATAATACTGTTTGGAATGATTCCCGAATTTTAAGACACCACTATCTTATTGGAATGAGGACTTATTCTGAGTGGCTTACGAGGAATAAATCTTGGTCACCTGAACTGTTTACGCATTAGTGGGTGGCGATAGTGCGTGTACTTAGCCCACCAAATTCCGTTAAAGATATTACATTATTTAATGGACGGCGGATAATTTAAGCAGTAAGGCATCCTTAAAAGTCGCGATTTCCGATGGGTAAGAAAGCTTGGAAACTTGGAAGGACTAAAACTCAATTAGATCTCTGGCACAGACATTGAAACACCCAACGGATATGGAGCTCAGCCATCCGCCTCATGACTTACCGAAACGGTAAATAAGGTTTACATAAAGCAAAGTCTATATAAAATTTGCAGACGCATACACAACGCACGCCAATGTACAAATCTGACGGGCGATATAATTATACCTTAATATCCACAGATGAAAATGCAACGTAAGACAAGTTGAATTATTCAGATAAATCAGAATCTCCAGAATCTTTTCCGGTAGGCTTTTCCCCTCCGTCATCGCTGAGATCACTCAATTCATCTGAACCGGACTCAGAAGTCGCGACGTATTCTTCGCTCTTGAAAGCGGATCCTGAACTGACCTTTGGTGCAGAAGGCTTCGAGGTACGGGGAGTTTTCGTAACTTTGGAAGTACTCGGTGCTACTAATTCGCCCGATGCTATCTTATCCCGATATACACGCATTTCAGATTCGTAGTTCTTTTTCAAGTCGTCCACACGAGCCTGATACTTGGCTTTGGTTTCAGAGTCAATATTTCGCCACCGTTCTCCAGCTGCCTTGGCGACTTCAGCAACAGATGTGGGGCTGCCGATGCTTTTTGAAATTTCATCACGATGTTCATTGAACCACATTATGTAAGCGGTAGGAGGACGGCTGGGTGCGTTAGGGTCTTTGACTCTCTTCTTTTTCTGTCGCTCAGTTGCTTTAGGTTTGGCAGGTGGTTTCTCCTTTCGTACAGGTTTCGATTTTTTGGGCTGTGGTTCTGGTTCAGAACCGGATCCGCTTCCTGATGCACCGCTGTCAGATTCCTCGGCACTCGACGTGGTCTCAACATTGCTGTCATATTCTTCAGCCAATTCCGATGCGTCGGATTCATCAGGTGGCTTGAAATCTTCATCGTCTTCATCATCATCGTCGTCGTCATCCATTTCAACTTGGCGTTCACGAGCCTCTGTTTTAACTTTTTCCATGTATGCATCATGAGACTCTTCTGATGAGGACCACGCGTCTTCGGCAGCTGTAGCTCCACTGCCCCCACCAGCTCTTGATTCGGAATCAATGTTTTTCACGCGCAATTTTTTGGAAGTTACAAAGTCGTAAAGCTGGTGATATTCATTACGATCAATTGACGTGAAGGTATGTGTGAGTCCATTTCTGGTTTCGACCTATAGAAAAGCAAAAGGATGAAGTAACTCCCAAGACAAAAAGTAACGAAACCTAACAGATAAAATAAGCTAGGGTACACATGAAGATAGGTCAGATCAGCTAATGTCCGTTTCCTCTTAAATGTTATGCGATGTTCATGTCAATCTGAGACAAGATTCACCGAATACAAGTGCATAAAAAACAGGTAAGTGTAATTCTTGTGTGGATACATTAGCATAGTGTCAAGCAAAACGGTCACAAATACGGCCCGAAGGCCATTTCACCGTGAGCTGAATCCCACCAGGGTTTGAGCTATAAACTGTTCGTCATTTTTGGAATGGAATGGCAGTCTCTGAATGCTGACATATTTCCCCCTACATCCGTTCAGTGAACAAACTTGCTTCAGCCGTTCATTAGCCCGAGCTATTAACCGGAACAATAGGCGCAAATGTAAGAACTTAGAAGTTCAGTCCACAGATCATCTAAAAGTACAAAACAACACGCAAATGAGCGTGCCACTCGGTAACGATATATATACTTTGTCCTGATCATTTTGCCAAGACAATTCTAAAGGGTTTTTAAACGATTATGACGAATCTGACACCTAACCAGAACAACGAAACGAGCCACCCACCAAACTGTCGTCCAATTTCTGCGAACAGGAGGTCCTAACGATTCAGCTGTAAATGGTAGGATAGTCTGCCTGGGAACTTCCTTTCTCTACGATAAATTCAACACTCCGTTTCGACCATTTGACTAAATACTGAGCGATTTTGTGATAAGACCTGTGTAGCTCCCAAATTTCACTACGAGCTGAAGGCCAAACTTTATCAAATTGCTGATTTTCGCTCAGAGAAGTACTATGAACTCATGGCTACCGGAATATTTGGGATTTAATCCAACGAGCTTCGAGAATTTTCCATTCCGCCTAATACTTCCTACTATAGCATTTGATGGTCATTTGCGTTTGCTTTTGTCGCCTCGGAAAGCACTTCATCACCGTATTGTGCCTCACCAAAAGGCAGTATTTTGTTTTCACTTATTTAGCTGATAATCGTCTCTCCAAAACGGTCAAAACCTTGATTTTTATTGCCGACAAGCGTGAACCACACAGGAAGGGGAAGCTTGTTATCAGGGATCGTTTGTACAGAATTGTAATAAATAATAAACAGTTTAAAGAAGCATGTCTAGGACTCATCGAAATGCACACAGAAAGTGGTGCAACAGGATTTAACGATTACGAGCAAGGAGACGCAACGCTCATTTGGACGATAGGAAGGAGTGATTTGGTAAGGACGACTTGAAAGACAGATGGGTGGTAGGATAGAAATTCTGAAGGGGATGGGATAAATTTCGACTTCGTTCGAAAAAGAACCTTGAGTGGTGCTACGTAGTTTCGCAGGCGCCTTTCGTAGGGTAGAAGAGGTGATGATAGATGAAGGAACGAGAAAAACAGTCAGAAACCACAAAAGGAACGAAAAGCCAGAATAAACAAAACGAGGATTGACTCAGACCTCTTTGAGGAGCACTGACTATTAACTCAAACTCTGTTTCGCCCAGGAAGTTGCCACACCTAGGCAGTTTTCGTGTGCTGGAAGTGTGACACTAAACGCTGCTGGACCCGAGTAGAATTACGGTTGGTCCACATTTCACCTTCGACCATCTTTGTCCGCGAATGTGTGGAAAGGGTTGACACACTTGTGGATGAAAGTTAGCTTGGTTCTTTTACAAATGGCGTTGGTGTAAAATCAGTGGTCGTATAAGTAAACCAATTTGAAAATCGAAAAGTTTTCAGGGATACCAGACGGTAAACCTGACGGTTGATGGAATGAATTCGGACCACATCTGCATGTATACTGAGCCTGAGGGTACCACCTTTAATTCGAAGTGGTATGTAGAAAATGCAGAGACATGCGCTAAGAGAGAAAATGAATAAGTGGTAGCTGTAACGAAGCACAGCAGTGAAGCGAAACTAAGGGCAAGAGCAGTCAAGGTTTTGAATCACAGATATGGTCGTCCTTCTCTTCCAATGTGTGCATTCTCAACGAGTATACGAACATAAAAATCAACACATTTATAAAGTGTTTTTTAAAACCGGTCAGCTGTGGCACCCACTCGGTGCACAGCTGAAGTGTAACACGAGAGGCTAAGATACAGCCAGGTTGTATAATTCGAGACAAGAAGAGTCGAAAAGCACTGATTAATTTCGAACACGGACCTTCCGGTCAGTGTTTTCGCGCCTCATTAGCTGAGTCTCTCAAGCTCCATAGGCGTGAGGGAGGAGCAATTTCTGCTGGTAGAAACATTAAGCAGAAGTGACACATCGAGAGGCTAGTAAGGGAGTTGAAATAGATGGACCAGGAACATGTTGCCCTGCCAACAGATTATCGCTCTACGAAGTTTCCGTTAGTTCAATCACTGAATGCATTCCGCAAAGCAATTTAATTATGATGAGAATCGTTGAGTCGTTCTATACTCGCTGAGAGCCAAAAGTCGTGTGCATACCATGAATTTCTATGGTTATCCGAACAGCAATCAGATTAGCAGCTGAACAATAAGCCACTACAGTGCCATTGAGTACCCAGACAGAATATGGCGTCGCTGTCAATCTTGTTGTTGATATTATCAAACATGCTCACATAAAAACATCTCAAGTAGGTCCGACACCAAACAGTATACAATGCAGAGTAGGCATTGCTTTCCGACACATGTGAAGTCCATAAAATGACACCGTAGAAATTCGCCTAATTATAGACTATCTAAAGAACATTTCGTGTGGACGAGATGCAGAGGATGTTTGTGGGAGGAAAAGTACGTACCTCAAAATCAAACGATCGCTGTGCTCCAGTTCCACGTGAGAATTGAACAGTGATTATCTCATCGAATCGAATCGAGACTGGAGGTCTCGGTACAAAGGTGAAACCACGTTCGAGTGGATAAAGCAAACCAACGGAAGCTTTGTAACTGCATGCTACAGCACTGCCTCCGTTTTTGGCTGAGAAAGCTCCGGGTACGGTTACTTTTTGATCAAATAAGACCTAAAAATGGAAATCCAACCAGGAATGTCAGCCGGCCAAGCAAACTACATCAAATACAGATAAATATACGAAAACTATTCTCATATACAGCAGACGTGATATAAATAACAATAGCATTCCACTGATCACGAGCTCCGGGAGTGGGCGCATAGCGACCGAGGGCCATAGGTCTAGTGCTCTTCTCTCCCTCTCTTACTAGCGAAACGTCACTGGAATGACAGTTTAAATATAAGCCTCATCCCTACCTTTAAAAACTAGTGGTTAGAGCAGAAGAACTACCCTAGTTTACTCAAGTCTAAAATAGGCTGGAAATTGTACACCACTTATACGTGGAGTCTAAACCGCATACACAGGCGGTATTCCAGAAATTCTAAAAGTGACGAGACGCACCACTGCGAACAGAACAAGGATGTCCATTGAATACAGTTGCTTATCATACACAGTTCGATTTGATATTACACCGACTATCCACGCTTGCCTTCGGTCAACTGTGTGGGCTCGGCTTGCTGGTAGTTGCGCCATCACCATCAGTTATCATGAATGACATGATGAGCAAAGAACACCGGAGTCTTGCTGCCTTACGGTTATGTCAGTTTACTTGAAAAACGGAATGGAGAATGAATCAGGGAGGTTAACCTAGAGTTGGTGTCGCACAAGCATCTTAGGTGTCTAAACCCCCAACAGAGTCAAACAGTCTAAGTAGAGACCGACAGAATGAACGACATTCCACATTCGACAGTCAAACCTTTCAGTTTGCCAAGCCAGACATAGGCAGGGTCGCATACGCCTCATTCTGCAAGGCAAACCAATCGACCGCTCAACACAAAGCCCATCCCGGCACATCCAGCTACAGCAACCTCTACGTGACCAGAGGCGCGCTGAAGGAAGCTGGAAGAGAACTAGGTGGCAGTCAATTCAACTGCAGTGTGATTAATCACAGCACTTATTGATATATATTCTTCCTTGTTTCCGACAGACAGCACACATCATCGGAGAGAGAATCCAGTGTTCGGGCAGAAGCAGTCCTTATCCTACTCGCTTCAGTTTGCGAACATTAAATCGGCTAACCAGACCACCTTTCGGAGTATGGAAACAAATTTCGCGGTGTTTAGAGTTGGTCATCCTCATTATCGACAGCGTGACATCAGTGCTTAACACTGAGGCTTCGCTGCCATACAACCATGATTTGCTTGAAAGCCTTATTGTGAAGAAAAGAGTATAATTGAACGGAGGACTTAGTACTAGCTTACTACAATCATTCCGAGGTGCCTGCACCTCCAAACACTTACTCAGGTAATCTAGATAGATTGCCACTGACATCGATTGGCAGCCCTATTTTGCAGCGTCTCCAACCAGGCGCAGTGGGGATCACGCGATCCCCATCCTGGAAGGCGAGTCATCATCATCATCGACAGCATGACGTCAGTGTTCATCAATGATGCTTCACTGCCGTAAGGCGTGGAAGGCGAGTAGCACTGAAAAAGCCCAAACGTCTCATACTCATTTTCAAATCCCTGTGGAAGGTCAAGGTTTGGCCACCTCTCTGCATCCGCCACTCTGATTAAGTGAGGGAAAACAGCCCTCTTTTCGACAAACGATGGTTACGCATACGCAACAGATGTCCCGACTAACGTAGCTTCGGGTGCTGGATACATTCTTCAATGGACATACCCGTTGCACAACCGAAAACACGCTTTCTAATTGCATCGTTACGGATTCGTCGATACCAACCCACACGATCTATGGTTCTGAGACAACGATTGTCAAACACCGGAAGGCGTCCCAGTTCCGCTGCTCAAACAGGTCAAGTCTCACAGCCATACGACAAAACAGCCCGTATTGTAGCCTGACATACACTTCCCTTGAGATTCGTCGATCTATCTATATAACGCCGTAGGTGTCTCAAATTGGCGAGCGCGACCCGGGCCTTGCGGATTCGTGCATTCACCTCATCTGTCACACTACGATTAGAATAAATACAACGTCCAAGGTACGTAAAACGATCCACAACTTCGATTGTCTCTCCTTGGATTGTAAGTTGCTGTTCAGTGACTGCATGTCCAGGAACATGGCCTGTGAGTGAGTGCATACTAAAGGACGAGATGATTTTGCTCAGTTCATCCAAAAACACCTACACCTCCTCGAAGACGAGATAAATATCGGCTGCATATTTCAGATCGAGGTTTTCTTCACAGGCTATTTGAACGCCGAGGTTTTGGAGACCTTCCAGTGTACGCCTCATTGTCTCACCGATCACAAATGGAGAATGGGCATCCCTGAAGGACATCACTTTGTGTGAGGAAGCTTCTGGAGAGCTCACCGTGTACCTTCACACGTCCGAAAGTTTGAGAATACAAGGAACTTATGTTCACAAACTTCTGAGGCATTCCTTGATGGGCAAGCGTGCCAAGCAGAACAGACCGGTCAAGCGAGTCAAATGCACCTTGGAAATCCAGCAATACTAAAATTGTGCGTATGACGTTCTAGCACCTGACGAAGTGTAAAAATTTGGTCAACGCAACCTTGGCCGGAATCCTGCTCACCTGACGAAGGCCGGTGTTTCACGAGCCGGTGTTTCACGAGCCACCATAAGGCGACGAACCATAAATGACGCCAACAGTCTCGTTACCACCGGGGTCAAGCTGATACCCCTGTAGTTACCACACTCAATATGGGCACCAGTATCTACTCTCCCCAGTTGTTTGGGACAGTCCCCCTTTCACAAATTCAGGCAAACAGATCGGACAATCGCTGACTGAGAACTTCACCGCCATTTTTGAACAATGCGGGTTGGAGGTCATCCGGACCAGAAGCTCGGTGGTGCCATAAATCCTCGAGGCCTTTGGGGGTTCCACATTTACCGTCCATGGTTTTACGTCCGCTGTGGGCTCAAGATGAGTGGCCATGATAACTGTTGTTCGTAGTGTTCGGTTCAACAGTCGAGACGTTCTATATTCAGAATGGTCGTTCCAGTTTGATCCTTGGCGCCTTCATCAACAGGTGGTTCCCGAAGACCGGTCGCATGGATAAACCGGACAGTACCGGCTTTCTGGACCACATCCATCTCCTTGGCTTTCTGTGTCGACCACAATTCACGGTCGGCTTGCACGCTCACCTTCACTTGACGTCTGATAATCCGTCGCATCAATTTATGTTCGGATCAGGCTGGGATATTTCTCCAAGATTTAAGCAATGCCACTGTCCGGTCTGATATCCAGTGCTTGAATGCGCCTGGTGGTGGCAAAACCCCCAGGAGGGTGCGAAGAGATGGCGATCTCGTCCCAGTAAGAATTCACATCTGATGGTGGAGCGTTGCAAGAGACTCCAGGAGACGATTCTGGTGAACTCGTCTGACACCCGGTCTGCCTAGTTTTTTCAGTTGCTAAGCCATTTACCCACAACATATGCGGCCCTGAAAAAAAGGAAGAGGCGAATCCGGACGAGCATGTGGTCGGAATCCACAAATGTGTTCCAAAACGAGAGGCGGTCAGTTATTGCTCCACGACATCGGTAAATGACGTCGATTATAATCAATTTGAATTCTTAGCTGACACAGCTGGAGGACAAAATGTGACCAGACGACTTCAGCCATTTTGGAAGTTAGTACTGCGGTCATCACACGGCTGCACCAATCATCCGCCATTTTCCGTACCTATCGAGTGTGCTCCATGTCGACCACCTAATTGATTTTTAGATGCGCTATGCCTGCTCGTTTAGCATCCAGATCTCCGGCAGCCACAGTGATCTCTGAGCTTTTAGCTCACCGCAACAGGGCGTTCAGGCCTCACAAAACTTGTTTTTGAAAAAAGTATGTGGAAGAGAAAGAAGGGAGGCGTCAGCAGCAGCCCGCCTATGCGCGCTGCTGCATGCAGCTAGTAAGGCGACTCGGTTGCAGGCAACACGCGACAGCCGATGTAGTATGAGTTTGTATATGTGCAGTTCATGGTGATACGTGGCCAGGGAGTCCACACCCAGAGGGAACGATTAGGGTCCACAACCAAAGCCTCTGGCTCAAAAGCCTGATCGCAAGGTAGTGGTGTTTGTCCGGAAATGCAAGTGCATTTCAATTTTTCCAGGACAAAGCCCCACACATGTTCCGACCCCCAACCTAGAGGACAAGAGACTGTGTTCGTCAGACTTCGAACCATTGACCAACGTAGTATGAGACTCTGCAAGTGTCGCACGGATCCCCCCCCCACTATAACTCAGTGGGTCGCGGAGGTACACAAACCGTTACATAACGGCAAGGTCCAGTTTCTACATGACGCGTTTATGGTTGCTAGTGTAATCGGACGTACATAAACTGCAGCTAAACATGGTGAATGGCAATCAAAGGGTCAGTCCTTGTGCTGAGGCCAGGGGAGTGTGTGAGACCAGGGAAGTGTGTTGTTCAGACCTCTGTCCACTGCCCAGCCCGGTAAGAAACTCTGTGGGTGTCAAAACTGAACCCCTCAAAATAGCCCAGTGGGTCATGGGGGTACATAAACCGTGTCGCGGCGACAAGATCCAGTCTCTCTGCAGACGACTGATACGTCTGTTGACCGTGAACTGCCGTTAACTGCAGTATACAGGCTTAACTCAGCCATCACGGTCATAAACACAGAGGAAACACTCTTCAGGCCATGCAGCTCAGTGCATTTCGGTAGTTTTTAACTTTCATGCCCTGAAACAAGTTGGATAACGGGATACCCCTGCTTGTACCATGGACTCTCTGATACGAGGTTTCAAGAGCCAAATACGATCTTCGAACTGACCTTTTCTGAGAGTGCATCTCTGGTGATTCAGAAGCTGTCGCATTTAGTCCCGTCATGAATATCGAACTGAAGGGTCTCTGCTTGACTGGATGACTGCTGATAGTGGCATTTGTATTGTTCGTTTGGTAACATGTGAAAACATCCCGCCAGCCCGTTGGTCACCACTGCTTGTTCCCTGTACACCCAGACCGTAGTTCATCTATTCTCAAATGGAGCTCCCATGGCGGACTGACACCTGTTGGTGTTGCGGTTGCCGACAGTATGAATATATAGTCAAGTAAACTTAGTAGACTGCACACTTAGTGCGGTTGATGATTAGTTGGATGGTCTCCTTGGACTAGAAACGAGACGAGTGGACAACGGTGAAAACCTGCTGCAGATGTGTGCTAACAGCAGAATATTTCCGTTCTAAAAAATAAATCGTCCAGCTGTAGCACCCTTCCGGTGCCTAGCTGCCATGCCACCCGAAGGAAGCAGGAGGGCTGGGATCCTGCCAGGTTGCCCAAACCGAGACAGGGGAAGTCGAGAGGCAGAGAACGGGTTCGAATCACGAAACTTCCAGTCAGTAAATTCGCGCTCTAACCACTTGAGCCATCTCGCCGCAATATTTCCACATGAACTACAGACTGACACTTGTTCTGGAGCGCCCGTGTGGGAGCTGATCACGCGCTTATCCGCTTCTGCTTATGTTCGCACTTTTCGTGGAGGGTAGGCGGCGAAAGGCCGTGCTTAGAGTGAGAAGTTACTGACCGGAAGAAAGGCTTGGCCAGTATCCAGCGCTCGTACTTCCCTCGGGTGGCATAGTAACTAGGCACCGAAAGGGTGCTACAGCTAAGTGACTTGATCTTCTTCGGGAGTACGCAAGATGCGCACACCTCATCTGACCATTGAGCTGTCGGGCTCCCATGCGATGCAAGCCTACCAAATCCATCTACTGAAGTCACCTTCGGACAGTCTAACTTCCGACTTTGACTTCTACTGCAGACGACTACCCACAATCCTGCAAGATACTGAACTCTCTGTTTGTGGAACGTCGCTGCAAAACTCTAAAATCGTCCGAAGCTCTGAGATGTATTCGAGTTTGAAATACAGCACGCTTCGACGGGATGTAAGACACCAGATCGAAAAAGGGTATCCGCGAGAGCATCGCACCCAAAAATTGTTAAATTTCGCCTATCTTTGACATGGAAACGGGATATGAATGCGATCACTAAAAGTCAGAGTACTGTCGAGGTAACTCGGTCCCAGGACGTTGCTCGCGTGTTCTATCATGTCCACGGTTGGAGAAGACATAAAATATGGATGCCAATAAATGCCAATAGCGTTCCTGTTGTTAGTTTCTGTTAAGGTTGTTCGAATGACTCTTTGAGGGTGCAGGCACTTCAGAATGATAGTGGATGTGGAAAAGGCCTAGTACTAACCCACCACTTCTATTCTTTTAACAATTAGTGTTTCAAATAAATTATAGTTGTACGGCACTGAAATGTCAGTGTTGTACAGTGACGTGCTGCCGATGAGGATGAAGTGCACAGCTACGCTCTGAGACGCTTAGTCTTTGAACCTGCCTCTAAGAATTCAAGGGGACTCTCGAATTCCGGCAACAGTATATGTATCTGTGGTTGCATTAGCTCTGGCGATAGTGTGTCAAAGTCAATGCAAAAATTTCAAAAGCCCAAACTGCGTTTGTAAATTCACGCACTTGCAGCATCAAAAACGCACATCAGTGGGTCTCAAGTGACGTCTGCGACTACAGTGCATGGGATGCTGATTGGAAGACTTTGTCACTGCGGGTGAGGGACCTAAAGCATCTTCGGATGTTCGACCACCGATATCTTAACACTACAGCTGGAATAAGCAGGTTTACAATAAGTCGCTTATGAAACATGTTTTTGTTGAAGCAAAAGATAATTCATTCGAGGAGTGCACCCAGTATTACGTGCTAAAGAGGATAGGTCATCTTTTAGGTATGCCAACAACATTGTTGCTTCCCGCGCCTAGGAAGAAGTGGCGGAAACCTAAAGGTGGACAGAATGTGATATGCTATGCGCCTTCGAGGAGGGGGGCATGGGTGACCGCCATCATTGCCAGAAACAGCAACATCAGCGTTGACACTGATGCTTCACTGCCAACCAACCACAAGTTTAACTAATCATACTCAGTGAAAACACGAAAAAACAGTGAGTGAGCTATGAACCTGGTGCTGGCCTATAGCATCCTGAGCTACTGATGCTTCACTGCTGTACAACCACAAGTTTAACTAATCATACTCAGTGAAAACACGAAAAAACAGTGAGTGAGCTATGAACCTGGTGCTGGCCTATAGCACGCATCCTGAGCTACCTACATCTCAAAGCACTCCGTCATACAATCTGCAAAGAAAATGGGAGCACGAACGTCAATGACTTTGTTCAGCCTTTAATTTTTGCAATGTATCCGGCCGAGCGCGAGAGGAGTCACAGAGACCCTAAACTAGAAGGCGGATTCTACCAACAACATATAAACTCTCCGTAATCTCAAACACATCCGAGTCGTACATTGCCCACCTCGCAGTTCTGAAAGCAACAGTTGTCTCGGCAGACGACGTTTTGCATGCGTAGCATATGGTCGGGCAACCGAAGTTGTTTTCGGATGTTTCGCGCGGTTGGATTACCTGCTGCGCAATTTAATATTCATTTTTACTTCATTTTTACTTCATTTTACTTCATTTTACTTCATTTTTACTTCATTTTTACTTCATTTTACTTCATTTTTACTTCTACGAATTTATTGACAGCATCCAACACCAGCGACACTTTTGAGGTATCGACAGTCAGAAACCTGAAGACATCCCGCATAATCACCATCTGAGACCCAGTGATATGCTTTTCAGACTAAGGAAACATTATCCGGGCCTTTGAGCTCCGTGCACTGACTTCATCATGCACACCTCGATCAGAGCTAGTACAACTCAACACCAAGGGCCTCTCCTTCAATTGCAAAGGGCATACTCAAAGATGCACGCTCTGAACCATAACTTTGCAGTTTTAAAGTGCAAGACATAAGCCGAAAGATGGCACAAGAACGGTTAGTCTAACAGGACGTGTGCTTTGTCTTCGTCTTCATGTATTAGGAGGATGGCTGCGTATTTTCAGATAGACAAGGTTCTCACCAGAAACCATTTGAACCCGCTGTTCTGAAGACCTTCCAGTGTCCACCTCAGTATTTTGTTGATGGCGAAGTTGAACAAGAATAGAACAGCATATCCTTATCACACAGAAAAGCTTGGCAGAAAAGCTTTTAGACAGCTCACCACATACTCCCACTTTGTGTGGCTCGGACACGCAGAAGGATATGGTGCCCAGCCGAAGCAACTGATATTCACAATGTTGGCTTCTACCCAAACTGTCTCGCTGCTTTGGAGGTGCAGACGGCTTGGATGTTTCTTTCGATAGTGGCTCTAGGTTACCCCACCCGCGGCCCTTTCGCTTCTTCCCATTGTACGGCTTGGTTCAAACACGGTTGTAAGGCAGCGAAGTACCAATGTTCTCCTCTGGTGCTGCTAACACTGATAATGATGGAGACCGTCGTTATGGGGACCCAATATACTTGTGCTGTAGTTTGGAATACCTTGCTTAAGACATTCGCCAACTCCGCATGATAAACGATGGTTCGACTGGTGGAAAAAACGGTCTAAAATTGTACAACACAAGGAGACACTGTATTCTAGTGAATGCTGCTTTGTCCAGAGATGTGAACCGCTTATCTCGGCGTAGCAGTACTAACTCAAATGGAAGGAAGGTTCGAGAGGCACGTGGATGATGTCTTAGGTAGAGTGGGCGCTCCGAGTCCTCATTGTTAACGGATGGGGATTAGCATGGAGGCTGGTTGTTACAATGAGTGTTTTGGTTTCTCCTTGGTCGTTGTATTTGAGCCTACACTAGCATCGATTTTACTGTCATCTGCGTTACACATAAGGACACTAAAATGAAGAAAAAACGATTAGGTAGAAACATTAACCACTTAAATATGATCAATAAATCACTCGGCCGTGTCGTTCCTGACAAATACGGAACTTGGGAGGACGCAAGAAGGTTCTGATACCGCCAGTTCACCCAAATTAAGACAGGAGTCGAGATGCCACCAGTGGGTTCGAACCAGACCTTGAGGAGAGTAAAATCGCTACTCAAACACTGATCCAATTCGAGCTGCTATAAGCCATTTGCCGACAAACGGTTGACCAGTATCCCCTCGAAAAGGCCGAAAAGAGACAGTGAACAGTTGTGGACAGCGACTCAGGCAAATGAGAATACCAAAATATAAGATTCAAAAATACTTGCCTTGAAAATACGGGCGACAACTTCGCACTCGGGACCGGCAATATTCTGAGTAAGTTTTCCATCGAAGTGCTCCTGCAACCACTCCTCGGAAGCAGCCATATCCAAATCGACATGTGAATCCTTATCGAACAATATAATAACAAAGTGGTATCTTGTCTGCCCATGCTTGATTGGGGGGTCCAATTGAAGGACAAAGAAGACTTGGCGGTTGTCTGGATGCGGCAGCATGAGAAGTCGAGTGATGGTGCTCTTGGGGACCTTAAAGTCAAATGACTTTCCATGCAGGTGTATAAAAGACGGGTATAATTTGACGTCATAACGACCTCTAGGTTGCAGACACTGGAGCTGCTTGAATTCCACCAGAAAGTCGCCCGTGACCTGATTTCATTAACAGAGTAAAGGAAAACCAGTACCTGGATTATATCGGCCTTTTCGGTAACCTTTGAGTAGATTATTGGAGCTTTTCCGTCACGATCAGCTTCAGTGCCAGGCGTGTAAAGCCGCATTTCAGAAAGGCAAATCTCCGCATCATCATTTAAATGGAACTCGAAAACGATTTCATTCTTATTCAACGTGGCGTTAGATAAATTAGCCAGGGGAATTTCGAAAGACATCGAGTTCTTCACGGACATTTCGAGGACATCTCCTAGAGGAGAATTAGAGCAAAATAAAAACCAACCATCAACTTCAACATCGCCCCAGTTGAAACCCTTGTAACACAACTCACGCTTAGATATTTCGATGCCAAAGTGTGTCTTAAAAAACTTGGCGACCTTTTCAGCTTCGGTCTCGCCGAAGCCATCGTAACGATGCATGGAATCATTTTTTAGCTTGATTCGGAGGCCGAGTCCAGTAGCACGTGCAATCCACTGAGCAGCTACTAAGTCTGCACGAAGGAAGTGATCGACTTTTCCAGTTTGTTCATTTTTAAACATGAAATCATTCTCCCGCAGTCTTAGTTTCCCTGGATATACAATACCCCGCACTTCCTGCGTGATGTTATCGAATGCGATATCCGCCATAAATCTTGGGACTGTATCAGCGAACCAAACTGAACCTCACTATGTGATTGGTCACTAAGTTTACGGATACCATAAGCTCATTTGGCCAAATCGAATAGGTTATTGTGTGCGGATAATTGGAGCGAAGACTCACAAAATCGGTTCCACCGCCACAGTGAGCAGCTAAAAATAAAGACAACATGTGCCTCCAGTTGCTGATGCAAGCGTGGGCGACTAGGCAATGATTTTCTAAACAGGTGTAGAAGAAAGTGAGTAAAAAGGTTTTGTGTTGACGAACAAAGCCAGATCTGCTCGGGCGGTTTACATATTTGCGTACTGGAATATTCGTCGGATTTCCTGCAGAAGTATACTAATGCGGAGACTCAGGGAGAGGTGGTCATGAGAAGTCTTCTTTTTAAAGTGTAATATAAATGTCATACCGGAGTGAAGCATACCGCTACCGTCTAGCTTAGCCAATCAGCCTCCCGACTGTCGTCTTGATGAAGATTTCATGATAAAAAGTACCAAATAGTATATTTACGAAAAGCGCATATTATGCTGAAGGTGAACAAACGCTCCCTGTCCCCGCCGAAAACCGCGGATTTCGAGATAGCACGGGGTGTAGATATCTGTTTGTGGTGTCCGTTTACGGATTCACGGATTGATACACAGGATCGAGGCTTTTGCCCAAGTTTCCCGGGTCGGTTTTGTTCTTGTCGGTCAGTGGTTGTCGTTCACCTGAAAGGCACAAGTGAAAAAAGGGTGTAGCACTGCTCTTTATGTTCTCAGCGCGGGGCAGTATGCTCGCCAGCGCGAGGATTCGCATAAATAAATGTCTAATAGTGCTTTAAATTGGGTTCGAGAAGGAGCGTGTACAACCGCCGGAGGAAGGTCATTCCACGCAGCTACTACCCGAAATGAAAAAAAGTTTCGTCTAATGAAAGTGTGTGCCCAGAGCTTGAAAATTTTCTTACTATGTCCTCGCCGGGTGTTTGCTGGGTCAACGGTAAAAAACCTGTTTGCCCAGCTTTGTTTAAAAACAGGGCGTAGGTAAGAATTAGGTCCCCTCGGAGGCGACGGTACTCCAGGGGAAAGAGATCAAGCATCGCGAGACGCGTTTCGTAATCCACGGATTTGAGGCCGGCAACCATTCTAGTGGCAACTCGCTGGACACGCTCAATGAGGGTAACGTCTTTCGTACGTCCTGAGTAGACAACTTGGTTGGTGTACTCCAGGAGCGGTCTGACGTAGGCCCATTGGAGTATTTGCAAGTCCATGCGAGTAATACGGGAGAAGGTTCGTCGGATCATCCGTAAAATGGTGAATGCCTTTTGGGCCGATTTCTCATGGTGTAGTGAGAGGGACAAGTTTGAGGAGACCCAGATGCCCAAATCTTTTTTGGCATCTATCCTCATGATGTTTTCTGGTCCTTTTTCACCATGCATAACAAAGGCATTCGCTGAATCCCCTCCAAACGACACATGGACGCACTTTTCATCATTCAGAGGAAGGTGCCAGTCCAACGACCACGCTTGGCAGCGTCAACATCCATTTGGAGGGTACTGGCATTGGAACTCCAGGATTTCAAGTACGCAAGAACGGTTTGGGAGAAATCCGTGTTGAGCTGGAGATATCAGATTGCTGGAAGTAAGGTGATCTAGGATGGCTCGCTTCAGAATGCGTTCCATCACCTTGCACGGCACGCTAGTGAGGCTTATAGGCCTATAGCTGCCAGGCGATAGTCGGTCACCAGTTTTGTAGATTGGCGTGACAATCGCTTCCTTCCAAGCAGGGGGAAGGCGGCCTTCGTCAAGCGACTGACGAAACACCAAGTGTAAATGGTTTGCCAGTGTGGAGGACGTTTCTTTCAGGATCCTCGGATGGACCTCGTCGGGTCCCAATGCGCAGAATGGGTTGATCTTGTCCAAGAGTTGACGAATGTCCTCCACCGTGAAGACCAAGTCGGTTAGAGGCTGTTCGTAGTTTCTCCTTGACAAGAGTGGATGTGACGAGGACGCTGGGGCTGAGTATAGACACGCATAGTGCTCTCTACAACCCTCAGATACCACTTTTGGGTCATTTGTCGGTTCTCGTTTCTGTCCTCCCCTCTGCGGCGGGGTCTAACGCACTTGAACAGTACGTTTTTGTTTTTTTCGAGCGAGGTCCAGAATGGTGGCTTGTTTTCGTATGTTCCATTTGCGGATTTCCGATTTACATCGATTGCGCATTTTACGAAATGATAGCTCACCTTCTGTGTCCCCTGCGGTCAACTTTTTGAAATGAGTTGGGATCTTTTTTCTAGAAGTCGCCGAATCCTTTTTGGCAGCTTGCGGTTCATCCGACTGCGTGCCGGTCTTCTTGGGACGAATGTCGCGTCAGCCTCGTGGACTTTCTGGACAATGGTCCTATATAGTTCTTCCACCGGAGCTGGTCT